TTAAAACTCATTTCCAATCACATATTTTATGTTATTCAAAATTTTAATCAAATTTTCAGCAACACATTTCATCAGTTTTTATCAAAAATCTACTAAAAATATAATTTTAACCAAACCAAACATGAACTTAATGCCAAAAATAATTAATTTCACAAACTATGAATACTCTTCTCTCTCCTTTTCAATCTAGTGTTCACACCTTAGCCCTCGCCAAAACGTAGTGACAAGAAAAGACTCGGCAATTTCGTGCTCATTTCTTTTGGGTTTCTCTATTAGATATTCTAATTCATTCTTTACAATTATTTTAAAACAAAAACATTGCATAATGCTGAATATAAATATATAGAGTTCAATTCAATGTGATGAACCATTTTCGAATGCTATTTTTTATTCTCTTGCTTGTTGATTCATTCATATTTTCCTAATTCAAGAAGTGTGCACGTCATTTTTCGACTTCATATCTCTTCCATTATTAGAGTTAGATTGTTATCTTACATAATGACGTAGATGAAACATGAAAAACCGTAAAACAAATCAATATGAAATAAATCTCCATGCCGTCATTCAATATATCAAAACAGTCCCAACTATACTTATTTTTAGTACAGAATACTAACATTTTATTTCTATAGTAGTCCACATCCCTTCTTGATTTTATTTAAAGGTAATGAGATTTTTATTATTATGGCACTAATGAGACATGCAGAGATGAACATACGTAAAGAAGGCTTTCTTCTTCGTTAACGCGCAGATGAAATTGCCAATCAATGACAAAACCAGCACTTTTTCACCAACCACATGATTGTCCTCTGTCCTTTTATATATTCTTTTAATAGACCAAAGGAATCACGTCATAAAATTTAGGGAAAATTGCAGAAGCAGTTCTTAACTTTTTTATTTTTTTTGTAGATTTTATCCTAACTTTCATTTTGTGGTAACGGAGGTTCCTAACCTTTCATAAATATGCATCAAGGTCTATCTGGACAGAAACCGTTCAAAACACCATATGTTGACCGAAAAAAAATTAAGGAATCAACATCTAATAAAAACATTTAAAACACCGTCCAAAAATACTGTTCAAAAAGGTATCAACATCCAATAAAACCGTCACGGTAGCAGATAGTTTAAGAATTTTTTTAATTAACTGATAGTGTTTTGAAGGTTTTCGTCCATGTGGACCTTATGGGCATATTTATGAAAGGTTAGGGACTTTCGTTGACATAAAATGAAGGTTAGAGAAAAGTTTGCAAAAAATGAAAATGTTAGAGACCGCTGCTACAATTTTCTCTAAAATTTATTATTTGCTTTTGGAATGTGCATCACTTTCACATTGGCAGTCACCTATTGACTCGACATGGAGAGAAATTTTTGCACTAGTTAGGTCTCATCAAACGAGTCAATTAATTCTATAACCAAACATTTAATAATCTGACACGTATTAAACCGACAATAGTAAAATGCACTCTCGACTATATATAGAAATTTAGGCATCTCGAACCCGTACTCTCCTTCCCGAGTCCCCAAAATAGTCATTCATACACACTGGGGTGTTTATTAGGGTACAAAATTCAGCACCAATGAACAAAGATATAAATAGAAAGGTATTAAAGATTACATAACTTACACTTTGGAAAGAATTCAATTATAAATAAATAGAAATGGGTAGTGTATAAATGAATAATATTTTGTGAATTACTTGAAATGTGAAGTTTGATCCTTCAAAAATTTTGCCTAATGGAGTCTGAATGATAAAAAGAAGTTATAAATTGGAAAGGAATTTGTCCATATTACTCATGATTTTCTTTTAATGAACTTCTCCAATTCACAATTAATTAAATTGTTTAAACAAGAAAAAGTAAGTTTTATCAATTTGTAAGTTATTCCAGCTGCGGGTTGGTGGAATGGAATCGTGCAAACGTCTAAAAATGGGCCAAAATAAAACTCAAAGAGGACAAACCGCGTACAAACTCTTATGCACAAACCGCGTACAAAAGGAAAAATTACCAATTTGGAAACGTGAAAGAGAAGCTAGGTATCAAATATGCAGTCCATGAACAAATTTATTTATTTATTTTTTTCAATTTTTTTTTGAAGTACAAAATTTATCCTTAAAAAATCTATGTCAAACATGTTGGTGCTACCAAAAACCGCACTTGTTATTTCTCGAGTTTGATGTACTTGATGATTGAGATTGACCATAAGCGAGATCTTCCAATACCTGAAACAAAGGTGTCAAGGTGTGTCCTCATCGCCTTTCCGATTCTTAAGTCAGAGAGAGAATTTATACGTGAGGCTATGAATTGAAAATAATGAAAAACGTACTTGAATAATGAGTCTCAATCATATATTTAATTATTTATAGATGTTGGCGGTAGAGTTGTAGAATGATTTAACCACCTGCAATCCTTATCTTTATTGTGTTAAAAGTGTTTGTGTTATATTCAAAGTGTTCTATTCGAGTTTGGATTGGATTGGGTTGGATTGTGATAAGTCAATAATAAAGATAAGGATTCTTAAAAGTTATAGTCGAAGTAGGATTTACATTTTCTTGAAGGTAGGGAGGAGATACTATATCAAGCGACATATGGCCTGACCTTGACGTGGGCCCGACCTCAAAAGTGTGGGAATTATGAAGGAACAAGTTCGGGCCTTTTTTGTGCCATTGCAGACCCCCATGCATCCATGTCGCAGCTTAAGGCGCATGGTCGAGCTGTGAGCTGAGATGCAAAGAGGTGCAATAGCCCGAAGCCGTCCTTCATCCCTGGTGGTTTGGCATGTGTGAGACATGCGTTGGCCTGACAGGGCTCGACCTTAGATGATTGCCACATGTCATGATTCAAGGGCCAAGATTAGAGGACCGTTGACATTCCAAAGGCCACTATAAATACCCCCACTTTTTACTCTCAACTCTCAGTAAATCAAGCTCGAGTTCGGGGATAGTGGATTTGTGAGCGACCAAGTTCAAGCTCTTAAGTTAATTACTTATTTGAATAGTATCGTGTCGAGTAGTAGTAGCACTAAAGGGTCGAGTGATAGTGGTAGTAGCCAGCCCTCTAGGAGCTTGAACAATAGTAAAAACCTCGAGAAACTAGGTACATCGTTTATTCCTATAGTCATACCTGTCAGTTCACACCTCAAGGGTGAGCTAGTACTGACCTATCCAAAGGAGCCCTCTAAGTATAAGGAACATGTGAATAATTAGGATTAGTAATAATTAGGCTACACAACTTAATTTGCTACATAATAGAACTGTTGAAAATGAAGTATACTAAAAAAAGATTGAGGGCAGATTTATTACATTCAAAAAATGTTGACAAGCAAAGTGCAAATTTCCTCAAATTTATAATTATCTTGATTTTTTGTAGTTACATTACATAGTCATCATTTTAAAACCTTGTGTTATATACCCTTTAGTTCTTATTTGGTCTCACTTTTTCAAAACTCATTTTCAATCACATATTTTATGTAATTCACAATTTTAATCAACTTTTCAACAACAAAATTTATCAACTTTTATCATAGGTTACTAAGAATATAATTTTAAAGAACCAAACAGGAACTTAATGCCAAAAATAATTAATTTCACAAACTATGAATACTCTTCTCTCTCCCTTTCTTATTTCATTTTTCAAACTAGTGTTCACACCTTAGCCCTCGCCGTAGTGACAAGAAAAGACTCGGCAATTTCTTGCTCACTTCTTTTGGGTTTTTCTATTAGATATTCTAATTCAATGTTCACAATTATTTTAAAACAATAGCATTGCATAATGGTGAATATAAATAAATAGAGGAAATTTCATTGGATGTCAAAATTTGGCTTCGCATTATAAAAAATTCACCATTTAAATTTTCAAGCAGGGGCCTATAAATTATGAATTTGCACAACAGGCCCCGTCTCCAATACCAAATCTGCTGCTGAAAACCTGGACAATTTTTTTTCCCTTTTTTTACAATGTTGCGGAGGCCGTCAACGGCGTCCAGCAACGGCCCCCGCTGCTGCAGTACATCAGCGGCGAGGATATAGCAGCGACGAGGGCCGCTCCAATTTACCAGTGGCGAGCGGCCATCGCCGCTGCTGTGGGCGGCAACTGTGAGGGCCGCTGCCTCTGTGGCAGACGCGGCGCTCGTTGCTGCGCTCCTCGCCGCCGACGGTCATTGCCGCAGTCGCCTTTACCTCTTTTTTTTTTTTTGCCCAAAATTTATAATCTTTTAAAATCAAAAACATATTTTTAAAATTTAAAATAAGGGTAAGTTGGACATTTTCCACAAAAAACGACATTTTTTATAAAATTAGGTGCACATGCAAATTTTTTATGCATTATTAAAAAAAGTGACATTTTTTATAATTCATCATATAAATAAAGAGTCAAATTCAATGTGATGAACCATTTTCGAATGCTATTTTTTAATCTTTTGCTTGTTGATTCATCCGTACTTTTCTAATTCAAGAAGTGTGCACGTTGTTTTTCAGCTTTATATCTCTTCCGTTATTAGAGTAAGACATAATGACCTAGATAAAACATGAAAAGTCTTAAAACAAAATCGATCTGGAATAATCTCCATGCAATCATTCAATATATCAAAACAATCCCAACTATACTTATTTCTTGTACTAACACCCCTTAGCATCCTTTCTCCCCGCGAATACTAACATTGTATTTCTATCGTAGTCCACATCCCTTCTTCATTATATTTAAACGT